ATTCATAGACATATTCTGCAAAAAGTAGTTCATTTTGTACTATTCTGTACATTTTATACTGTTCATTCACTAAATAAACTGATAAACTCTGAAACAAATTATCTCAAATTTATAATGATAAATAGATTAGCAATTAAAATATATAATTAACATTTTATAATATTAAAGTTATATTTATATATTATTATGTATTAGAATAAGCAGCATGTAATTTTTTAAATATCTGTAGCAGAATATAAATTTTATTATATCAAATATAATCTTAATGTTGAATAATTTATGCAAGATTTACCATTTTTACATCATTATCTCTCAAAGATATGTTTGATGAATGCAAAGAATAATGTACTTAATTTTTGTATTTGTTACATAACCATATCTGAAATTGAAAAATGAAATGCTATTAACATCTAAAGAATATCATTCATTTTGAAGGTACAAGATATGTTATATGCACATTTTATATTCTTCAGTAGGTTTAATAAACCCAAGTACAAGTCAAATAAGGAGTCAAATGAGAAAGAAATTGGTAAATTAATAGATATAAAATTATATAATATATATACACATATAATTAATTATTAATTATATAATAATTGCAAAATTTCAGGAAATAAATACAAGCTATGAGCGAGAAAAAAATATCCTTTTGCAACAATTTTTAATGGATCTTAACACATTAAGAAAAATACTTCAAGAAATGAAACCTATGGCAAATAAATCTTGCTTTGATAATATATATAATGAGTGACATACATAGTAAAAGCATTTAAATTTAATACTATTATAACATTGTACAAAATAAACAAATTTTAAAGTTGTTTATTTTTATATCTATTAATGTTTATTTGTGTCTAATTAAATTGTCTATTTAATATCATAAAGTAAATTGTATGAAATATATTGTGTTTTATTTCAAAGCAAATAAAAGTTTAGTAAAAGATATACAAATATCTTTACTGATATATTACTTATCAGTTAGATATAATTACCTGTTATTTACATGTAATAAAAATATCTTATATAATTCTATATAAATTTTAGATATATGATCTAACTGTATATATAATCTACTCTAATTCTAAAAATGATATAATTTTTATATCACTTTTCAATAAATAATAATAGAATGCACATTAACTAATGCAAACTCAACATGAAATAAATAACTGACATATATTTTATATATAATATTTATATGTTTTAAATAATTATGAACATAAAGTATCATTAGAATTAAATTTGAAATATCCTGAAAATAAAATTTGTTTATCAATCATTTTATTTTATAACGCAAAATTATTTATGATATATAAAAATATTTCTTTTTAAATAATCTATCATAAAGTTTTCATTTAAAGAAAAAATAAATAATTTTTAATATGATAATTATTATCATTTATATTTAAAATTTCACTAAAATTGCGTAATAATGTATCTTATGCATAGTTATCTATATTAATAGTACTGAATATATTCACGATATTAATATTTTAATAACAAAATATATTTGTTTTTTTATACATATTTGTACTTAGAATTTTTAAATTATATCTTATTCGAGTATAAGCAATATAATTAAGTAGTTTAATACCTTAATGAGCATATAATAGTATTATGAAATTACTAATACAATTGTCGTAAGTAATTAGTAAACAATAATGAATATATGGATATATTTTCCTTTTTACACATATCAATTTGAATCGATATCATTATCAATGTTAAAATCATCATTATCTTCTTCTTTAATCATTAATGAGTTTAATTTTAATAACAAATCTTCTTTGGATAATATTTCTTTTACAACACTTTTTTCTTGCTCCTTTCCTTCATTTGTATTTTCTTTTTTGTTGCCCACAACATATTTATCCTTTTTATTTGTAACTGAAAAATAATGTTATGTTTTAATTTTTGATGTTATATAAATATATATAATATTATCATTTAAATTAAATACCATTACGATTAATGTAACGTATAAATGTTCTACGTTTCCGTTCAGATAATTCCTTAAGCAAATTCTGCAATTCTAAATCTAATTTAATAGTTTCTTCTTTATCCGGTTCTCCTTCAATAATAGTACCTTTATCACCACATTTTGCACAAACTTCATATTGTGTAGCACAAGATAAACACATATTATGATAAGCATGTTTTATAGTTCTCTGTTCACATTTTATACACTTTGCAGGTGTTTTTAATGGTTTGTATTTTTTATATTTAATTTTCCACTCAATTATTTTTTTACATCTTTCACATACATGTTTAACATCAATGCTATTAATAAATTTTGTTTTATTTGATTTATCATGCAAATCATTTTTAAAAGCTGTTTGATTCTGATGCTTTTGTGGTCTTAATCGGTTACAATTTCCTTTTTGGGTACTCATATCTTTATTTATACTTAAATCTTTAACCTATAAAACATCATAAATTATTAAAATGTTCTTTTACAGTTACATATATTATATTATATTATCAATATTTGAATTGTGTAAGATAATTAAATTATCATTTTATTATTAATCACTTTTTAAATATATAAAAATTTATGTGATATTCCTTTTAACTTAACAGTTTACAGTGTATATAACCATGTTGAATTATTGATAGTTACGATAAATGGTTTGTGATACCAACTGACAACAATTTAAAATATCAAATTATTACAAAATTTGAAATAAAAGAAAGTACAATGTGAATTGATTTTTTAAATATACGAAAATAGAAAAATAATAAAATTGTTTTATGAAAATATGTAGTAAATATTTTTAGTTTCAAATAACTTTCGTATGTTATGTATAAATTAATGAATCTTCATAAATTTCCGTTTTTAGTGTTTCTTATTTTATTATATGTATTTAATACTTAAAAGTAAATATTTCATTCCACAATTATGTGTAAAATGTTTTTTACATTTTTGTTTATAAAGTGTAAGATTTTAAAATATAGTCCTATAGAAAGTGAAGTCTTCACATATGCCTTGTAAATACCTTGATAATTGTAATAAATAAAAAAATTAAACAGAAATAAAAAGAAAAAAATCTGTTGCGTTTTTTTTTTTTTTTGAAGAAAGGAACTTTAAAGCAAAAAAAAAAAAAAAAAAAACAGAAAAAAGTGAAGGAAATTATACATAATCTAAAACTGAAAGGAAAAAATTTATATAAAAAGGATAACTCAAAGGATAAAAACAAAAATAAATACAGTTATAAAAATAAGGAATGATATTATTTTATTTACTCAGGGTGATGTAGTATGAATAAAACAGGTAAAAAATAATAGTAGCAATTGATCACACAGAGAATGTATTAAATAATAATCCATGTTAATTGACTAAAAATTACATCTTTTTTTAAAATAATTTTATTCACTTTTATAATTTTTATTTTTACGAATATTGTACTTTTTTCATTAATAAACTTTATTATAATTTGATTGAATAAATATTTTGATTCTTCAAATTAAAATTGTCACTTTATAATACATCAGTACACAAATAAGTGATATTAGACATTATGAAATTATGCATTTCTTCAAGCGTACAAATTTTATGATTGAACCCAAAATTATAAATAATATCAATAAAAAATAATAATACTATAGCATAAATATATTGTGCATTAAAAGACAAATAATATAATATCACGTAAAATAACTTTTGAAAATAATACATTTTGTGGATTTATTTAGTTATTGATCAAGATTTGGTATATATGCAATTTGTAATTAGTATATCATGGATAAGAAAACTAAAGCATAGAGCAAGTACAGCGGCGTGGACTCAACTTCACTGAAATATAGGTTAATTTACGCAGACATAATTATAAAGTCAGGATGCACGGCTGAATTAGTGCTGCACATAATTGAAAATTGGAACCACTTACACAAAACGTAAAGGAACCAGCACTACTTGATTAATGGGAGTCACTAAGCTAAACAGTTACGGATCTCTTAAATTTTTCTCCAATAATACCTCAAGAGCAACTACATCTGTGTTGGATATGCGTTAATTATCTAATAATTTTAGGATAAACATTTGAAGAAACTGATATGAATTTAAACTTATTAATACAGATATGTTTTAATTAAAATTAATGTACAGAAAATTTTCAAGTAATCTAAATTAAGCTCTTGAAATAGCGAAAATAACTTTCTTATTCTTAAACAAAAACTTTTAACCGATATTTACATAATATGTACACATATGCATACATGCTGTTGAACAAAGATTGCTGTGAAAAGGAATTAAACTTGATTTCACTAATAAAGTAGCATATGAATTAGTGCATATATACTGCAAATTTAATTAAAAAATTATTAATTTTGACTTTTTACATATCAAAAGTTAATACCGGGGCGAACTTAACGTACTATAATGCACAGGGGTGTATTTTTCAAGGGGTGTTTTGTTTCCATCATTTTATTTATATTACATTTCGTAATTAATGACGACATACATAAATATTTTCACTTTTATTGTAAAATAATAATATCATCAATCGATTATAACACGCTATTCTCTTATTGAGCGAAACTCTAAAAAAAAATGCAACCTCTGGCCAAAAGTGCGGCGGCATCAATCGATATCATTTACTACTTTAATTTACGACTGTACTATATCATGATTTGAATTATATAATTTAGAACGTTTTTTAGATAGAATTTCTTTACGAAAAAATGTTTATTTTATATTTTATTTTCTCTATTAAATTTATCCAAATTATATTTTTAAATAATCAATTTCTAATTTACATACGTGCATTATAAATAAATTAATGTTATATGTATATATTTACTATATGTACAATTTATGCAACTCTAATCTGTATCGTGTTATCAATTACAATATGTTGTATAAATATATCTATGTACATATACATCCCCATATCATTTTTAAATAGAAAATAGGATAATAATTATACTAAGTATAGAAATGTGTGTGAACAAAACTATTTTATACGGCGATAAAGAAGTACCCTTCTATTGGTTCTCGCACTTTCTGGTAATATTTTATTTTATACTTCAACGGTTAAATTAAATACTTGACGTCTCATACTACAGGCTTACATTTTATAGCTACACGATTCTTTTTATATGTTGAATTTATATTAATTAGCTGTATTTCTTCAAAATAACGTATTATAACGTATTATATAACGTACTATATAACGTACTAAAATGATAATAAATAAAATATTAGATTTAAAAAATAAGCATTTCTATATTTTTAATGTTTTTCTGTAAAATTTACGTGACTTAACCAGATTTTATACTTTATTGTAAATCAATTTTTATGAACATTTTTTACATGATCTTATTTTTCTTTGTTCACAATTCGCATCCACTGTGTAAAAATAGGTTCAGATAAAATTAATATCATATTACACTTTACTGATCAGTCATAAACTTTGACTACGAATTTATTTTCCTTTTCTCGCATTTATCTTCTCTCTATTTCATTTTATTTTTATTCGACGTATTGCCTCCGCCTACTTTTCCATTAAAATGTCTTGGATTTCTTATTTTATTATATTTTTATATTTATTTTTATTTATTTTCTATTATATATTCGGATGATTCTTTCATGTTTTCTATCCTTTTGCTGTTACCAATACACGTGTGTTTTTTTTTCTTTTCATTTATCTTATAGTTGCAATTGCTTTTGACTACTCTTTCATACTTTTTCAAGGTATTTTGCTACTACGTTTTCTGTCTCTCTTTCTCCCCCTACTCCTCCTCTCTCATTTTACACATCGCTTCACAGTTATATTCATTCTCTCTAATAAAGTTCCTCTCTCTGTTTTTACGTATATTTCTGCCATATTCTTTTATTCTACGGATTCTAATTTCGTACTATTCTTTTCTCATTTTTCTTGCTATCTTTTTCATTTCTTATCCTATCTTTTCCTATATCTGTTTCTTTCAGTATACAACATAATTTCATATAGAATTTTTTAGTCCTAAGATTTACATATATTATTTGTTTTTTTTTTTTTTTTCTAATCCCTTATGTTTCTTTTAGAGAAATTAATCAGGAGAAACGAATATAAAAATTCAATAAAAAAACAAAACATATTTTTTCTAGACTACCCGGAACTTATATTCTAAAAGTTTATTGATTAGTCTACATGGCCTCCTATCACAATCAACTTTGAAAGATCATCTACTTTAGTTAAAAATATGTAAGTACTATAACAAAAATTGTAAATATTTTATATGTAAATATTTTAATATTTGGTTATGTCGATTTATAAATTTATATTTAATTTATTTCAACCCTCATTTTACTGTAACCCAAACTAAAAAATTGATTACTTTTCGTTTTCCTGTGACACATTACGGTATAATAATTTTCTGTAAAATTTGTTTAAGTTGCGATTAGGATTATGATTTTGATCTTTTAGATTAAATTATACACATTTGGATAAGTTATTTAGCACAATAATAAATATTTATAATTGCATGTTTTCCGAGATATAATATATTACCTTACAAACATTTTAAAATAAAATTATGTATATATGTATATTGTAACTGTGTTTTGCTTTTAATTATTTTTCTCATTAAGCAATTAATTATTTTTTTATAACTAGAATAATAAGAATAATTTTTAAACGTATGACATTTTTAGTTTTTTTTTCTGGAAATTAATCATAAGAATTTATCTAAATAAGAATTAATCTAAATTCATATAATTTAAATTAATTTAAAAACTTAATGATACAATTTATTCGTAAATTTATATATAAGAATTATTATCACATTTATTCCAATAAATGATATTATCACATAACAAATAAATATAAAATTATTATGATAAAATAATGCTGTTTCTACACTAGTTTAAAACGTTGAAACATGAAGAATGCATATTTACCTTCATATATTGACCGTATGCCGTATGTATGTACGATGTATTCACAATCAATTCACAACTGAATTTGTCATTTAATTTTATTTTATGTAATTTATAAATTGTGATTCCATATTTTTATTAAATTTAAAAATAAGTTACAGATATTCTAATTTAGGTGTCATAATTTAGATTATCTTTGAACAAGTACTGAAGAACCTTGGAACTGTGAAGTAGTATACTATGGTAAGAGAAATCTAGTTACCCATCTGGATGTTATGAGTGTTCATTATTTTAGAGTTATTGTAATTGATGTATAAGATAATACTTATCTTATTTTCATTATTTTTAATAAATTAAAAAATCTTTACAATCTATACATTTGTATATGTACGTATAATGCGATATATACATATTGTAACCTAAATTTAATAACTGTAATTTAGTTAGGTGTATGTTGTTTGTTGTTGTATCTCAAAATTAAACTAAACTAGATTAAATTAAACTAAACTAAAGTAACTAAATTAAACTAAATGTAAAAGATATAATTTTTATGTAATATTA